AAATATATATTTTTTTTAAATTCCTCCCCTTCTAGCGCTGTTTCCCACCTTGGAACCTGGACCTAACCCGCATTAACGCATTAATATGTGATCATATATAATGCGACTTAATATAAGGATTAAAGAAGAAGAAGAAGAAGTTGTTCCTGCTTGTGAACGTATTTCCGTTGCTCTCTCTGCATTTGCATATTTGATATAGCCTGGAGCATTTTCTCTAATCAGGTCAGACCGCCTATGGTATGGCCAGAGCTAATAATAAATCCCAAATGGAGATAATCGCTTTTAAGCATAACTCGTTTATTAGAGTGAAACTCATCTGCAAATAGAGCTGAGGCGGGTCTTGACTAATGTCTGGAGAATCTATGATTGTTGTGTATAAATTGAGGTGTATATTGGTGTGTGTGTGTGAATGTGTCGGTGTGTGGGGCACTCAGACAACACCCTGTGAGTTGTGCGCACTCACTAAGGGTTGTGTCTGCCCCATGAAGCATTGCAACAATTTGCTGTAAGTACTTAAAATTGTTTGTTGTTGCTGTTGTTGTTGTTGATATTTGGACAAAATTTGTTAGTTGCAGCCGAGTCTCACCTTGTTACCAATTTTGTTTGCCTGTTCATTTTAATTATACATATATATATATGTATATGTGTGCACTGTGTATATGTGTCTGTGTGTGTATGTGTGCTTTGCGAATGTTAGAAAGTTTCCACCCCCTTTTTGTGTGTGTCGGATCCAAGCTTCTGCTCCCTTGTTGGTTTCACTGCCATTCGACGCGTCACGTTTGCCGCTTGCCACATGCCGCACTTGCCTCTCTCTGGCCATGGCCATGGCCAGTGTCTGCCATTTTGGCTTTTCCTGCAGGAAGCTTGCATATTTTACGTGCTACAYGCTGTTGTTGTTGTTGTTGCCTTGTCTGTGCGGGCATCTGTGTCTGTGCCTCGACTCTGTCCTCCTCTGTGCACTGTGCTGTGCACTCTGTGCTGGTGCCCCAACTCTTCACTTTTATCGATTGAATTGTGTCTCAGGCTGTGAAATACAGGTCATTGATCTGCTTGTGCTTGCTTTTTCGCCGCCATCAGCCAAACGAAATACGCCTCATTTTCATCTAGATTGAGAGTGGGCCGAGTTGTTGCGAGTGGCAAGTGGCAAGTGGAGTACGAAATGCCGGCGAACCGGGAAGTGGACGCCAGCCAGCATCGAATGTGCCAGACACTTTGCGAGTCCAGCTCGACTGATAAACGAACTCTGATTGTGTGCAGAAATAATGCTTATGATAGATGGTTTAGATTTCGTAGTTAAAAAACTATTTGTATATAAATAATATAGACATTTTTGTATAACATTTATATATTTAAGTGAGGATGAACTGCTCCAGTACCTTCTTAAACATGTATTCTTAAACATGTATCATGTATATTATTGAAAATATATATATATATGTATATATGTATTTAATTAAAAAAAAATATATTATAT